TTTAGATGTATTGTGATCCTTTTGATGTATCTTTGTTTGTTTTTTCTCTTCTTTGCATATCCAGTCATTACCAGTCCCACCCTTTTACACTATAAAAACCGTCATATTCAACACCTTGTCACGCAATATAAGATGTTTTTATACCGATCATTACGAATCAGCCTTAATTATTGGRCAAAAAATAAAACAGCTGAAAGAAACTGAAGGTCAACTTACTGCTAACGTTTATTTCTTTTTATTCTCAATTGATTTTTTATCACATCTTYTCGTTATTACCACTGACGTGTGCCTGTTTCGATTTTTTATCYTTTCTTTTGAACACCACGTAGTAATTTCTCGCGTGCTGTAGTTGTTCAGTTCAGTTCAACTCATTTGTCTTTATCTTAAGGAATGGGATCAAAACTAAATKATCATATGATATAGAACATACATTAATAACTCCTTACTGTAATGAAAATCAAACTAAMATTAAATTTTTCAGGCATCAAGTTCGTCAATACTTGTACTTTTTAAGATGACGTATGTACGTAACTGTTCGGTCAGTTCCGGCTGGACAATGTGGGAACCTCAAAAGCCWAATGCAAAATGACTTATGATATCTGTAATAGCGATGTTTTCTCTTTTTCTATTGAGGAAATTCAGACAGTCTTTCTTTTTGTTCGACCGACGATTCATTGGTTTCAACTTTCTGGACTGTTTCAACGGTCTGTGTCGATTCTGTTGCCTGGCTTCGCGTTCTTTTAACTCGGCAGAACAAATAAAGAGCCTCCAAAAGGAATAAGAACATYGCAATGTAACCACAAGCTGCAGAAGCCACTAGGTATTCGTCGCCATTGGCATAAGCAAGAACAACAGAGGACGCAGACAAAAATGCTACCACAGCGAGAAGACAGCAGACGACCCCAACGTATGGATGAATCAAAGCATCGGGAAGCCTTTCGAATAGATGTGTCATCTTGAGTATAATATGTATTGTTATGAATACGAAGGCAGTTACTCCAACGAAGACCATGAAGTCGTACTGGGCTAAAGCGGAGTAATAGCTGAGCCTTGCACAGATGATAACGAAAGCAAGGAAGGTACTGATCCATTCAAGCATMTTTAACCAACCTTCACACGTTGCTACAAACCACATACAGTCGCAGCATCCACAATAAACAGTATATTCTCGAACCTCTCGATCCACAGTCACCGTAGTGGTTGCTCGACGGTCTCTTTTCGTCGCCATCACGCTTAGAGGTTAACAAGAGTTTCTCGTATCACGTTCGGCACCCCGTTCTGCCTCGTTGCTTGCCGTTTCTATTATGGCGCGCGCAATGACAATACCTTGAGTGCTCTCTGAATAATCAACCTTGCATAATCATCATCTCGACAACTCATGGATAAATCCACCTTTAACCTTCTCTTGGCCAATCAGTTATTCGGCCATTTGTTTGTAGAGATAAAACAAGTGTCACAGGTTACAGCTCCGACAGCTTTTTCATTATGTATCGATCAAGAAAATGTGCTGTCGGAAGTTTCGAAACCAAAAAAAAAAAATTAATTAAAAAAGCTGATAGGACTGGTTTTCTTGTGATACGTACGATTTCGCCTTCGAGTTTGTCAAATTGTGATTATTAGAGAGTCTTTTGGTGTAAATGATTTTGATGCAAAAAAAAAACTAAAATATTATTTTAAAAAATAAGTGGGAAAAGACATATTACGAACAAATGAATGGATGGATGGATG